GGGCTTTGCAAGTGCCAGAAATGTGGGAGAAGCTTCCAGCCCAACTCCCATTTTGGCGTGACGGCGGGGAAGGACTCCCTCCAGTGCCCCCAGTGCGCAGGGGGTTTCAAGGAGGGGTCAAACCCCATCGAACACCAGAGATAACACCGGGGAGAAACGGCTCCCTGCTGGGAGCAGGGGAGGAGTTTTGGGAAGAGTTGAGACGTCGTATATGGAAGAGAAAAAAAAATCAGCGCTTCTCCTAGGTAAAAATTCCTCAGTTTTAAAGACTGCAAAAGTGGGAAAAAAAAACCCCAAACACCCCATGCAAATGATCTAAAGTAGGCTGATCAGTAAATAATAAGACTTTTTTTTTTTTTTGGCTAATTATTTCCTCTTATTATTGAGTTTGCTCAAAGGGCTTGATGTGTTGGGCCACGATCCACCCACTCCCAGTCCAACCGTCTGCTGTTTCAGGCTGTCCGTCATCCCATCGTCTGTCTTTAAAGCCCTTCCTTAAATCCTTTGTCGTTTTCCAGGCTGGGTACCCATCAGCACCCCAAAGATGCTGTAGGAATCTCTCTTCCCCTGCACATCCTTCCCTCCCCCGTGTACGTCTGCAACCTCAATAAAAAAAGGCCCGCTGTTCCTAAGGGATATCACGTTTTCCTTGTATTTCTCTGCTAGCTAAATAGCTTTACATCACATTTTTATTTGCTCCTCCGTGGCAGGGAGAAGTTACCGCTGTTAAAAAGCGAAGACGGGGAAAATTGCAAAGAGCTTGGTAAAGATGTCGGTGGCCAGGGGAGGGGAGCTGACTGTCCATAACCTAAGAGAAAACAGGGAGAACTTGGTGAAACCACGATTGCAGCGTCCGGGAACTAGCCCGGGGCCAGGCCTCGTCCCTTCCAGCTCTGCATCCTAGAGGAAAGCAAATTTGGGGGAAATCACACTTTCCCAACAGGTTTTTGGAGCGTTGGGTTGGTTTGGGGGGTTTTTTTGAGGGAGTAGGGTGGGTTTTTCTTGTTCCTGAGCTGGGGTTGAGCTTGGAAGCTGCTCAGATTCGGTTAGTGGAGCCAAAACAAGCCTTGATGCAGGAAACTCCCACTGAAGCCCGACCACGACTGGGGAAACGGGTCCCTTTGGCCGGACGGTTTCTGCCTTGGTTTCCAGAAGAGCCAGCATCTGCTTGGCTTTGCTGCGCTAGACGCAGGCTCACAGGGGCGAAGAAGACCTGCAAGTCCCTTGCCAGGCTTCTAGGCCCTAGCATGAGAAGGTCCGCAGCCACTGGGCTGCTCCAGGTATTCCGCTAAGAGCTTGGCACTTCGGCTTCGGCGTCCTCTTCCCTTTCCTCCTCTTTGTGCAGTGGGACCTACCTCCCACTCCCGTTTATCTCCTTATCTCCCCCTTTTCCTCCAAAGACTTGCAGCTGCCCGTGGTGGCCACCAGGGCCAAGATCTGCAGGAAGACCATGGAAACGGTATCACCTCTGCTTGCTGGGGTGGTTGTTTCCACCTTTTACTTCGACTTTCTGACCTTAAATCGGCACTAATCTCTGACGCGTTTAGCCCCCAGATGGTCCACTGGGGCAGCCAATATGTCATCGACAGCCAAAACTGAGGGGCTGAGCCGAAGCTGTGGTACCCGCAGCGCTTCTTTAGTATTAAAAGATGGTTGTTTGGGCCCTCCCACGCGTGGCTGGGTTGGAGTTGCATTAATAACGTCCTGGCTGTGACCCAGTGGTCGTGGTGGTGAGGGTCACGTCACACAGAGTTTCTGAATGTGCATGAATGGAGAGATGGTCCAGAAAAGGCTTAGCTAGGATTTGGACAGAGAAGTGAGAATATCACTATTGCTTCTTGGCTAAATTCAGGTTTGTGGCTACTTTTATTTGCCAAGGCAGCTGCCCTAGACCTTAACGGGGTCTCTGGCAAGCCCAGGCGCCTTCCCAGGAGGGATCTCCCCATCTCCTGGGCACCAGCCGACAAGGTGATGGGACCATCCCATCGGGTCGCCTAGCCCCGAGGACGAGGACAGGGCGGTCCAACCGCAGCCCTCATAGATGCCACGCCAACAGTGTCACTCTGAGGCCACCGATGTCCCCAGGCTGTGGACAGCGGGCGAAGGGGTGTCGCTGGATAATCTACACTTCTGCGCCAACTACGACCATCCTGCAGACCTTGGGTGGCCTCCAGAGGACCGGGGTGGAGGCAGAGACGGCTCAGGAGGATCGTCGGAGGTGTCAGACCAATGTAACGTACCCCGGACGCCCATCGCACGGTTTTGCAGAGCATCTTAACCCACAGGAGGAGAATTATTTCTGCTGGATGCGTGGGTCATCCGGACAACGCACGCGACCCCGCTTCCCCGGGGACCACGGTGAGATAAGGATGGGACAGTCGCTGGCTGATGGTGACAAGGGTGGAGGCTCAGCTCAGAGCTGATCCAGGGACGGGGCAGGAAGGTAAAGGAGGTGCCTGGGGACCACGTTTCTACGACCGAAAGGACCATCGGCAGAGGCACGGGAGCCACGCAGCCAATGCCAAGCCCATTCCGTGCGCTTGCAATAATACACGTTATTTAGTAAATAGGTTCGTGTTTTACTCCAAAACATATATACTGGTATCCCCCCCCCCGCCCTTGCTGATTCCAGTGTGGAAGACAAAGATCCTGGACTTCCCGCACGCCTGCGGCTGTTTCTTCTGTGCTTTTCTTTCTAGATCTAGGAATTCTGAGCTTTTTCTCCACCCCGTCTCTTTTTTTCCCCCAGGAATTTAATCCTTTTTCTTCTCCGCGTCACTGCTGATGCTCGGCGGGGCTGAGCACGGGGCAGCGTCCTCCTCCGTCAAGACGTCGTGATGGATTGAAAGAGCCGAGTTCTCCCGGAAGCTTTTCCCACCCTGCCTGCATCTGCAGAGTCCATCCGCTCCGTGCACTCGCTGGTGCACCGCAAGGTTGGATTCCCTACCGAACCGCTTCCCGCACGCCGGGCAGGGGTAGGGCTTCTCCCCGGTGTGGGTCCGCTGGTGGGCGATGAGGTCCGAGCTCTGCCCGAAGCTCTTCCCGCACTCGTGGCACTTGTAGGGCTTCTCCCCGGCGTGCTGCCGCTGATGCCTGACGAGGCTGGAGCTGTTGCCGAAGACCTTCCCGCACTCGGGGCACCTGTAGGGTTTTTCCCCCGTATGGAAAACGCTGGTGGGCAACGAGGTCCCTGCTCAGCCCGAAGCTCTTCCCGCACTCGGAACACTGAAACGGTCTCTCCCCCGTGTGCAGCCTCTCGTGTCTCGCGAGCGTGGAGCGGCCCTTGAAGCATTTCCCACACTCGGAGCAGCGGTAGGGCTTTTCGCCGGTGTGGGTCCTTTGGTGGACGACCAGGTCTGCCCTGTGGCCAAAGTTCTTCCCGCACTCTTGGCACGGGAAAGGCTTCTCGCCCGCGTGCCTCCTCCGATGGGTAAAAAGGTTCGACCGATGGTTGAAGCTCTTCCCGCACTCGGAGCAAGCGAAGGGTTTCTCCCCGGTGTGGATTCTCTGATGGACCGTAAGGTCCGATTTGCGGGTGAAGCTCTTCTCGCACTCGTGACACTCGTAGGGCTTCTCCCCCGTGTGCAGCGTCTCGTGCCTGATGAGGCTCGACCGGGCTTGGAACCGTTTCTCGCACCTGGGGCACTTGTAGACCTTCTCCCTGGCGTGCGATTCCTGGTGCGGAGCGAGCTTCCCGCTCTGCCCGGACCTTTTCCCGCACCGGCAGCATCTAAACGCTCTGTCCCCCCCCAGCGTGCATCTTCTGAAGCCCGAGGAAATCCAGGCCGTTCCCAAAGCTTTCCTTGCACCCGCGGCACCTCAAGGGCTTTTTCTCGGTGTGCAGCCGCTGATGCTTCGCGAGGTTAGATCTGTCGCTGAAGAACTTCTCGCACCCGCAGCATTTGTAAGGCTTTTCTCCGGGGTGTGTCCTCCGGTGCACAACGAGGTTTGAGCTCCGCCTGAAGCTCTTCCCGCACTCGGTGCATATATATTTCTTTTCTCGGGCTCTGCACGGGGCGGTGGGTTCCTTGAGGACTTTGCAGTTTCCTTCACGGTGCACAGAGGTGCTCGCGTCCTTCCCTGGGCATCCTTGCAGCCCGTCGGCATTTACACCCGCTTTTCTCTGCTGAAAACTCCCAGAAAAATTTCCCTCTGAGTTGATGGATGGTGAGCTGCTCATTTCGGGGCGTCCCTGCTGGGGACTCTTCTCATTCTCGCTCTCCATCCCGTGTCCTGCTGGGTTAGAAGTAACAACATCGCTTACGAGCAGAAACACGGCACGGGAGAGAGGGAACAGACAGAAGATGAAGCACCTCGTGGATGGGACCCTGGGGCGCAGCTCTCACCTCTGCGAGGGTCTCCCGGGGTCTCCGGCTCCTCCCTCGGTTGGGGTTCACCTTCCCTCTCTCCTTTCCCATCGCTCCATCCCCTCGGTCTGGGTCCGGAGCGGCTGTCGGAAGCGAGCGGGGTCACTGCCCCCCTCGGGGCAAAACTCCTTGTCTGGGGGGAGGGGAGGAATAAATATATGATAAACCCTTCTCATGCGCGAGACGCTGCCACGTCCGAACTCTCCACGTCGCTGTACCCACCGGAGAAATAGCATTTGGGACAATTAAGGGGTGGATTTATCACGGGGGCAGGAAATCCTGGAGCAATTCAACCCGGAGGGCACCCCCGGACCGTCCCCATGCTCGAGGCAGAGCCGGCCCCA